AACCAGGTTACAACGGACAGTGGGCCAGAAGACCGGTGGAGGCGGTCAAAATCCCGGACGCGTTTTGAGCTCCAGAGTCGCTAAAGGGGACTCGAACCGAACGTGTGACCTCACCAATCGATTGCGCTTTGGACGAGAAATCCATTGGTGGGGTCACACGTGCGGTTTGAGTTCTGCTTAGTGACTCTAGGGCTCAAAACGCGTCAAGAAGTTTGGCCGCTTCCAGCGGTTTTCTGGCCCACTGGGCGACGAAAGGAAAAATAACCCGGCAGGCCTGAGTGAGTTAACAACGCGATGACGTTCTGGAGGGGGCAGACCGCGACACTGCTAGCACCATGCATGGCATGGCATGCGTGGCCGTGGAGGGGATGGCTGCGAGCTTACAGTGCTGCATGCGTGTTGCGTGTTCGTTAGCAGTAATCGGGAGGGGGTTAGGCCGCCCCCCTCGCCTACCCTCACCGCCCCCCACCGCCCCTCACCGCTCTGCATAGTCTAGCGAGTGCGCACTATCTAGCCCCCCACCCTTCCCCCGACTTCCTACAGTACATCCCCAAACACGGGGTGCACGACGCTGCGAGCATAGTCTGCCGCGGTCCGTGACTACACTGTACACAGCGAGTACAGTGTACAGTCGGGGCAGTGTAGGCACTACACCCAGGCAAGCAGGGCAAGCACACCGCCGCCGCGTACACGACGACCAAGTTTGGGGCGACCTATCAGCCCGGCAGCTGCAACAGCAATAACATCAACAGCAACGACGACGACGACGACGACGGCAGCAACAACAGCAAAAATCAATTAGCGGTCGCACTGCCAAAGTTTCGATTGGTTGCTGCCTGTGCCAATCATGCAGCCCCTCGCCTGCGCGTACTCCGGCTCTGCTCTCCGCGAAACGCGCGAGCGCAAAAGCGCCCCCTACCTTTTTTAATGGGGGGGGGGGCGACTTAGTAACGAGAAAGGTTGGACTAGAATGAGAGTCCAGCTGGTCACTTGGGCGACTCGGAATTCGGGATTTTCGTTCACCGTGCCCGCTGTAGGGATGATTTCTTTTGACACGGCGCTGCCGCCGGCATCGCGAACCTCGTCCTCGCCGACGAGGTCCTCAGGAAGAGGAAAAGGTGGCTGTAGTGTCCGCGTCGCCCCGGCGTTGCCCCGGCGTCGCCGCGGGCCGACGACAAGGCCCTCGTTTCGCCCGACGACGCAAGGCAGAGGCACAGCGCCGCACAGCGCGCCGGCGGTGGTTGTTTCGGTACAAGAAGCCAAGTTAATTAGTGCGGCGCGACGAGGAAGACTCGGTGGGCACCGCGGCCGAAGGACCGCCGCGGCGCGCCACGGCCTGGACGGGATGACTCGGGGCGGCGCGGTGAGGCGTGCCTACAGTGCCGTGGCCGCCAACAGTGAGCAGTCGGCGCGCAAACCGGCAAATCCGCCGAAAGGCGTCAAAAGGTGAATCCGGTGTCGCTCAGTCACCGGCCGCCCGGTGCCGCCGCCGCCCTTTGATACGCGATTAAAAGGCGGGGCGGGGCGGGGCGGGGCGGGGCGGGGTGTGGCGGGGTGTGGCGGTGGCTCCTGGCCCCGCCAAGCAGACGCGTCGCGCCGCGGCCCTGAATGCTACCCGACTCAAGTTGGCGGTGAATGAGCTCAACTTGGGCAAGGAGCTCACATCCCCGTCCCGCGTCGCCCCGCGCCTCCCCGCTTGGCCCGAGTGAAGCTTTTCAAAAAGTTTCAAAAGCTAAACGCCTCTGGGGGGGAGGGTAGCTGGGGGGCAGCATTGACAAACCCGTCAGGAAACACAGTTCTGCCGTGTTTGCACCTTTTCCCCCTCCCCGATGTGCAGGCGATTTTCTCGTTTTTTCCTTCGCCCGGGGAGAGATCGCAATGACGTTTTTCCGATGCAACGAGCGCTGCAGCACACTGTAGGAGATAAACGTGGCGTCGACGGCACCGGCCGGCCGAATCGGAACGCATCTATTAAATTAGAGAGGAAGGCGAGAAAAAGAGGGTGAGAGTGCGGGGAGGGGGAAATGTAGGTGTAAATGGGGGCCGGGGGGGGGGGCGACTCGGATGCGATGGACCGCCATGGGGAGGCAGGGAGAGTCGTTTCGTCGCTCTGTCTCTCTCGCACTCATGGGACTCTCCGTAAGGGTGCGAGAGAGACAGAGCGACAAAGCGATCTTCTGAATCGCGCGGCAGGGCCACGGCGCGGCAGGGCCAGAGGCGGCACCGGGGCCTCATTTCGTCTCACACATGAAATAATTTCATCGCGCCTAATCTTCCCCCCTCCCCTTTCTCTCCCTCTCTCTCGCTCTTTCTCTCCCTCCCACCCGCACCGCCCGCCCATCATCCAATCAACTCATTGTGCTGATGTGTTCCGGCTCCCTGGCTTCGTCGTGCAATTCATGAAGCTCGCCGCCTAGGGCTTGTAATTCGAGCCCGCCGTCAAGCTTTCGTTCCGCGTCAGTGCTCGCGGGGCAAGGATGGGATTCTGCTTTTCTGGCTGGGGTGTCCGCGTCCACGAAGTCCGTGTGCACGAAGTCCGCGTCCACGAAGTCCGCGTCCATGAAGTCCGCGTCCACGAAGTCCGCGTGCACAAAGTCCGCGTCCATGAAGTCCGCGTCCATGAAGTCCGCGTCCACGAAGTCCGCGACCACGCCGCCCGCCAAGTAGGCTGGCGAAGGCGACGGCGGAGGCGACGGCGGAGGCGGCAGGGCCGTCGCGCTGCGCTGGGGCGCGGCCGCGCGGCGGGTCAGCCTACTCTCACGGCGCTCAAAGCGTCAAAAGGCAGTGCGTGATGGCGCGTGGCCAGGCAGGGCGAGCTTAGACGGCCCGCTCGCCTGGCCGACGGCCTGCAAGAGGGCGGGGCTGGCGGCTGGCAGGGCGCGTCTGCCTCTGGCGCTAATGAACGGTTGGCTAATTAAAAGAGGGACATGGCTAAACGCGACCGCCCCGCTCCGCCCCGCCGGCCCGGGCCGCCATTATCGGAGGGACAGCCCTTGGGGCTTACCGCTGATCGTTAGCCCCGCTTCATCGTGCGCCCCTCGCCGCCGAGGCGGCCAAGGCGAGGCGGCCAGGCGGCCCGTCTCCGTCTTGGAGATGCTGAATCGGCGCCGCCTTGGCTTGCCTTCGCCACACGGCCTTCGCCCCGTCCGCCCCCGCCCCCGGGTGGCCTCTTGGCTGCAATGGGTGAATGGGTACCCTGGGTGCGATCCAGCCATCCAGAGGCCGCGTGCCGCCCCTCGGCGTGCCGCCCCTCGGCGTGCCGCCCCTCGGCGTGCCGCCCCTCGGCCGTGCCGCCCTCGGCGGTCGGGCGGCCGGCGCGGACGGGTACCGCGGCCACCGACGCCGCGCCGGTTCCACCCAGGTTCCAAGGCTCCACCCCGCTGCTGAATGCTGACAGGCTGACGTCGTCACTTACCGGTGAGCGCTCCGTGCGGCTAGCTGCAGCCGGTGCAGGCGGTATCCATGACAGTGGGCTGAGCACGGCGAACGCGAAGCACGCGAAGCACGCGGACCTAACCGACTCTCAGCATCCAGACGCCCCGGGGGCGCGGTCATGCACTTGCTCTTTAGTTATCCACAGTATCCGCCACGCTCACGCTCACACACGCACACACACAAACACACGCGCGCGCGTTCACACGCTCGGACACGCCGGTTCGTCCGACTGCACTAAGCACTTGGTCCTGGTCCTGCCGGCAGGGAGGGGGTCGCGCTGAGGCTGTGGGGCCGTGGGCCGTGCCGGGCCTAGCCGTGCTGCGCCGGGCGTGCTGCGCCGGCCTGCTGTGCCGTGCCGCTCACTGGAAGGGAAGGGCCAGGGCTTGCCGCTTGCCGCTTGCCGGGGCGAGGCTTGCCAGGCTAGCCAGGCTTGCAACACGCAGACTCGACTCCGCGCCGCCACGCTCCGCGCCGCGCTGATGCCCTGCCGCTACTGGAGGGGCTGGAGGCCCCCGCCACCCCCTCCACGGACCCGGCGGGGACCCCGGTAGGCCCCGGTAGGCCCCGGTAGGGGGCGCATGCGCGGAAGGGGGGAGGGGCAGTGCAGGGACCTTCCCTGGCCACCCCCGCGCCGCCCCCAGCCGCCCCCAGCCGGCCCGCGCCGCGCGCTGCTACCCCCGTTTCTTCGACCCTTGTCGCTCCCTAGTCCCTCCGGCAGCAGTGGTGCCTCTCAGCTCCACTCGGCCTCAGCCCTCAGCCGCCTCGGCCCCGCCGCCCCCGCCGCCCCCATCAACACCCCGGCCAACCCCGGCCACCCTCATCCACAACGCCGCCACTCGGCCCGCCGCCCCGCCGCCAAGCTTTGCTTTGCTTTAAATGAAATATCAAGCCCAACGTGCAAGACGCGCCCAAGACAGGCTCACCAACACGTTGCCCGCGCTGACACCGCCCGGCAGACGAGAGTCGTTTTCGTCGCTCTGTCTCTCTCACGGGACGTCCGCTGCAGGCACGAGAGAGACAGAGCGACGAAAACGACTCTCGGAATCAGCCTGCAGGTGGCGGTACAGTACATTTCAATCACCGCGTGGCCCCGCCGCCCACGCCCTTCTCCTCTCGCATCCGGGCCGGGCGGGGGGCCCCGGGCCGGGGGGTCGCGAGGGGGACCTGAATGCAGACGGGATCAGAGGCGATTTCCTCACCGGATTACCGTACAATTACTCCGGTACATGGCCCGGCGACCGACTCCCAGTCGCCCGTGCTCCGCTCCCCCCCCCCCCCCCCCCAACCCAGCCCGGCCCGCCCCTGCCTCGTGCTACAGATATATCTTCACAGCACCTCACTTGACTTCACGGGTGACTGGTTCGCTGCTAGTGCTGCGTGCTCTGTGTGTCGACGAGCCGGTGATGCATTCTTCATGGAGAGCGAGAAAAATATGTCCGGGTCAATTTTGAAACACATAAAATGTTTGGACTTTCTAAAATTTTAATTTTATTTTAAATGTCAAATTTTGGCTTTGTTGAGTTCTTCCAGGACGGTCATAGGGAAAACACTGTCAAAAACATCAATTTGGGTGATCACATATATTTTTTATTTGTCTTATTGTTATAATGAATGAAGCAGATTGACCTGCCCACGTTAAAAACGTCAGTCAGCAAATCCTGTCATGAAGCATGAGGCTGCATGCAATTGGCAGTAAAGGCTAGGAGATGAAGATCTTGTTGTAACTCAGATAGTCGCCGCATGTGTCTGTCAGTGTAAGGCAAAAGACCCTCTAGGGTAGCTCTTAATCCTTCTAATCTCAGTTTTCCAGAAGAAATGTGATCTAGTAAAACCGATAAAACAGCCTGAAAAAAAAAAGAAACAAATATTGTGAGATAAATTGACGGCACTATAGCAATATATTCGAAAACAGCAATGGGGACAAATACCTGAGCTGTATAGCAATGCTTTCCATTTGAATTCCACAAAACTGCATACTTCAAAAGATCTTCCTGCTGACTTGTTCCAAGTTGTGACAAAGTTTCACTGAGTCCTCTTGTGTCTCCTTTTTTAAGAATATCTGGAAGAATGGGTAAATAAGTTAGCAGATGGCAGATAAAGATATATTTAAATCTTTTAAAAAGTGTGTATAAATTGATTATAATAACAAAAACTTACTTTGGACTATTGTCAAACATTGATGTGGTCTCTGCAGTCTTAGAGCTAATTTAAGGGCCTTGAGAAGCTCATTGTTGTGAATTAAATTGGACAACTGTTGTTCTTGAAGAGTCAACTTTTCCTTCTCTTCAATAGCAGCTTGTTTCTTTTCTTCAGTTACATCTTTCCATGTCACTAATGTGGAATCAGCCCCTCCAGTCACAATTGCGCTTTCAGTGGTTGACACTGCAGGGAAAGCAACAAGGTTAAATACTAATTGAAGGCACATTTTACTCACGGTCATTGAGTTACTGCCAAGAAAGCTCACCTGTCAAAGCCCAAATTCGACCACTATGCTCATCAAAGGTGGAGACACATTCACCTGACTTTATAAGCCATAATTTAAGAAGCCCATCAGCTCCTCCCGTAACTAATTGATTTCCTTGAGATAAAAATTCCCCCCGGACCACAGATGAATCATGGCCTTCGAAGGTCTAGAGGACAAGGCATGGGGTAAATTCAACAATATAGTATTATGGGTATTACTAATTTGTAATCAGCAAAAACTGTTACCTTAATACACGACAAATCTTGCAAAGACCACAAACGCATAGTACAATCTGCTGATGTGGTTAGGACCATCTGATCTACAGGAGAAAATCGCACACACCAAACACCTCTGCGGTGCCCACGTAAAACTCCAACTAAAGAAAGGTCTTCTACACTCCAAAGCTGGAAATATTATGATGATAGTGCATTACTTTACTACATGTTCATTTCAGATAATAATTATAATGACAGTAGAAGTGACTATTACCTTGGCTGTCTTGTCCTGTGAGCCCGTTGCTAAAAGTTTATCATTGGGAGAGAAGCAAATACTATTGATATCTTTTGGATGAGCAATTTGAGTAATTTTTGCATTGATTGTAACAGGTGCAGATTCTAAACTCCGAGAGGAAACAAAAAATACAGTAGAAAATGGATTTTTACAAAATGTAATTATTGTTTCAGAAATACAAAATTAAAAAAACCTACCACTATCCCACTTGGAAGGAAGGCTCCAAATTTTAATGCAACTGTCCTGTCCAGCAGAAGCAAGAATATTGCATGACAATTGGCCAAAGTGAACAGAACCAACAGCAGCTGTGTGACGCTGTCCAAGCCCCACGCATACGGCTGTGCTACCATCTTCTGTCAATTGCCAAACTCTCACACAATAATCCTTCAAACACAAAAACAAAGTTTCATTATATAACAATAAGTGCAGAAAAAATTTGTAGGCATCAAAATTGTCATACTACATACTTTAGCACATGAAACAAAAAGTTTGGGATTTGACCGAGATGTTGAAAGACTCAAGACGAGGTCAGTATGTCCACGTAAAAGGGTGCAACTCATGTCAGAAACACGGTAAAGAGCCACATTTGTGCTGTTTGTAGCTACAGCCAGATGGGAATCATCTTTACCAACGTAAGCAATGTCAAGAATCTCATCACTAAAGCCAACAAACTGTAAAAGAATACATTTTGATTCATTAATTAGGCAAGAAATTGACGAGTCAAAAAATTATGTTGCACATTACAGGTTTAACTGTTAGTACCTGTTTCACACATTGGAATGTGTCCACTTTATGAAGTATAATATTGTGTTCAGAAGAAACCACTCCCAAGGCACCAACATCAGAATTCCACAAAAGCCGGGTGATGGCCAGACTTCCTTCCTCCTTGGCTTTAGATATCAAAGAGTTTGATTGCACAAAGATTTCTTTAGCAGCAAACACATCCCACACTCGAACCACTCCTAAACATTAGAAAAAATATTTATATAAACCATGGAGATAATCATAATCAAGATGAAAGAAGGTCCACACACACACACTACAAAGCTCTAAAACACTTACCTCTCTCTCCTGCCACGGCCACCCAAATGCCCCCTTTTTTGGCTTGAACTGGCAATGATACTTCAGGGGGAAGTATAACAAGTCCTTCCAAACCTTCATAGAGTGGTATTGTATTTATAGCACACTGCTTATCAAGATCCCACAATATTACTACTTTGTCTCGTCCACAACTGTAATGAAATACCTAGCTGCATGAATAAAGATTATCAAATAATTTTGTGGGCATTCTCTTTTTGGTTGAAAAACCAACACCAACCTGACAATGTGTTTTCCATCACTATGAATGGATATGGAAGACACTCGGCTGAAGTGTCCCTCCAATGTGAGGGCAGGTTTTCCTGTTTCCACGTCCCATCCAACGATTACAGCATTATCTGCAGCCCCTAAAAGAAGCTTCCGTGCTTTGTCGGGATGGAAGGTCAATACACTGCAAGAATAGAAATTGGCAGATACATAATCCTCAACCTCATTGACAATTTATTTATACGAACATTGGTCACATTATGATACAATAAACTTACCTTACAACACCCTGAACACCAATCAAGTTGTGAGTACATGATTGGTGGACAAGATCCCAGAGTCGTACACTTGAATCAGAGCCTCCACTGGCCATAACAGTTCCATTGGTTGTAAGAGCAATTCTGGCTACAGGACCTTTGTGTATGCTTTTCCATGATTTCATAGATTTTTGGGCTACAAGGAAAAAGGGCAAAAAAGTAATTAAATTACACAAAGACTTATTTTAAATGTAACTATACCACAAAGAAGAAAAATTGTTTGGAAATTTTACTTGGAACATTCCACAAGTGGAAAAGACCACTTTTGTGACATGATACAACATGCTGATCATCAGCAGATAGGGCAAATGAAACGACAATGTCATCCAGCGCAGAATCGTCAGAGTCCTCAGTATGACCCAGTCTCCCAATCAATTTGCCAGATTCTACATCTAACAAGTTGATTGCAGGACCACATTGGCACAGGAATAGCTTTCCATCTGATGTCCACTGAAATCGTGAAAAACAAATAGAAGAGAAGTGAGACAAAAATTATTCAGCAAGGATAAGAAAGCTTAGAGTCTTCCTCCGTTATTCTTATCAAAACTAAAAGCAGATCGTACCTCGACTGTGCCACCTGTAAAGATAGCTCCGAGCTTCGATTCAACTTCGAACCTAAAACAAAGCATGAAGGATAAAGGCATTAGAATTTTTAGGTTATAAAGCAATAATTCAATCATTCAAAATGTGTTGGCCATGAATTAGACTTCAAAGGAAGCAAAATACGTACACCTCTTTTAATTTTAATTTGGATGACATTGTGAAGACATATACTGACACCAAACAGAAATAATGAGCCTAAACTAACGCAAGTCTTCGATGGCACATGGTGTGGTGTCAGTGTTGATGTTTTGTCGTCTGCTGTCCCGCTTTCTCCTCTCCCCCTTCCATCTCCTTCCCCTCTCCACGAAGTGGGAAAACACTACCAACATGCCATTTTCGTCTCTTGCCATAGAAGGTGTTTAACTCCTCTTATATTGGCATTTATGTTGTTGTCATCTTTTAAACTGATAATCCTGTTTTAAAGGCTTTGGAATTTACTTTTCAGAAAAGCCTGTGAACCACCGAGGTTATGCCTTTTCTGGCGTCACCGTTGTCGCCGTCTGCTGCGTTGCGAAACGAGTAGCGATGATTGCAGCCACTGCTGCGACTGCAGCGATTGCGTTGCGTTTGCAGGCGAACTGGACTCTGTGCTCGGTGTCCGTATGTGTACATCAGCAATTTGCGGCCAGGGGCGGTCAGGTGAGGTGTGCGGGTTCAGAGTACAGGTAGCGCCGTCGCCCACGTAGCTGGTGGGCTGCAACTACCTGTGAGGTCCCTGCACTTTCCTTACCTAAAATGTCCGGCAAAGCGGCTACCGCCCCCAAAACGAAAAAGGAGCAGGGTATTGCAGTCAAATCGTACCTGGTGTTCTACAATGTGGCTCAAGTTGTTGGGTGAGTTCTGCAGAAATTAGAAAGTTGTACAAGTTGCTTGGTCATGCTGAGATTTGTGAAAGTCATGGAGTGCTCGTGTTTGCATTAACTATACAAGTGGTCAAGTATCAGGTCCTGTAGACTTGTTTTGACCGTAGAAGTAATATATTTCCTTCTATGCTGAAAATGAAACATCACATTCTTCCGTACACTTCAAAAATTGTAAATATAATTGATATAGTTCATTGAACTTAGGCATGCTTAATTTACTTTCTGTGTGCCAATTGTAAAGACTTTACATTCCACCAAGCTGCTTTGAAATCTTCTTTAAAATATCTCAGCAATTAAAAAAAAACATTTTTATATATATATATTTTTTTTTTTTTAATTTTTTTCCATTAGGTGGAGCTATCTTCTTTTCCAACTGGCATGGTACTTCATTAGTCCTCCCAAAGATACCACATTATGGGAGTATGTGAAGTTAACAGTGATTATTTTCCAAAATGCTGCCCTTCTCGAGGTAAGTAGAACTATGCTATACCGTAATATATTCACGCTCTCCCCTCCCACTCCCAACAAAATGTTTTTCTCCCACCCTAACATTATATGGTTTCCCTCCCTTCTGTTTTGGGGTCGTCCGACCATCCCGTCATGCTATTCAGAGGCAGATCGACAATCAGCCTCAGGGAGAGGCAAAGTGTTGCTTTTTTCCTATTTACAGGGGTAAAAAGTTGCTGTTTGCCTAACTTTCAGTTGGCTTCCTTGGGACCAAATGGCCTGTTGCCCCCCTTTAAATCCGTACCTTGGTGGTATTACTTTAAAGGACTTCACAAGACGGAAAGCACTGGAAGATTTAGAAAACAAATAAAAATGCATTAATCACCTTCTCTCTTTTCTGTTTCTGTAGGTGGTGCACGCTGCACTTGGACTTGTTGTTTCAAATGTTTTCATGACAGCAGCTCAAGTGTATTCCAGAGTCATGGTTGTATGTTTAGTTCTCCTTGCTACACCAACTGCTCCTCTTAGCATTGGTCTTCCCATGGCTCTGTTCGCCTGGTCCGTCACAGAAGTGATCCGTTACAGTTTTTATGCTTTGAATCTCCTGGGAGCTGTGCCATTCTTTCTGATTTGGTGCAGGTGAGATGAGTCAACACTTTTTCAAGTAACGGTGCTTTCTGCGATTTTCTAATATGTTTCACTTCCTTTTTTTGTGTGTGTGTTTTCAGATACACATTCTTTATCGTTCTCTATCCCATTGGTGTCTCAGGAGAGTTGCTTTGCATCTGGTCAGCTTATCAGCATGCAGCAGCCACAAGCATGTGGTCTTATGCTCTTCCCAATATCTTCAATTTCACCTTTGATTATGGATATTTCTTGATTGGTAATATGTTGGCATATCTTCCTGGTGAGTACCTACCGTGAATTCAAGTTGCAAATTTCAACAGTGGGACAAATGGGTTAACAGCAAAATCAATTTTTTTTACAGTGTTCCCTCAGCTATATTTTTATATGTTTGCCCAAAGGAAGAAAGTGCTAAGTACTAATGTGTAATAAACTCTGTTCACAGTGTTTCCTCAGCTCTATCTGTACATGCATGCTCAGCGGAAGAAGGTGATCAAGGGTGAAGGCAGCAGTAAAAAGACTAAGTGAGGAGATATCTTCAAGAAGACTGTTTTTTTTAAAGCTCAAATTAGCTTAAAGGATTTTTTTAAAATGGGAAAATTGATAAAAGACAAAAAGTGGGTGTGGGGGAAAAAGGTTTTCCTATTGAGCACACTCCATGTGTGTCCAGTTACCAGCAACCATTTAGTTTAATATCATAGCTTTTCATTTTTATTTTTTTCATACCACAGTTTAAATAGATTAATTTTTTTCTTCCAAAGACTAGGAAAGTTAACCATTGACCTTCTTCTTACCATTTGAAAGGGTCAGGTTCTGTGTTATTTTTATTGTTTCAGTACAAATGTTTTTGTTTTGTTTTCTACTTAAATAAATGTTGGGTACCTAAATTATTAGTCACATTTTTTTAATTATGTGTTGTGTATCTAATCAAGGGGTAGGTGGGTAAAGGTGTAGGAATCTCAGCTCATTACTGGTAGGATTGGGATCCAATTTAAGACAAATGTGATAACGTATCATGAACCGCTTTGCAGGTTCTTGCCCCTTTTTCTCAAATTTACTTGTGAATGCAGTACCCTGTCATTTTATTAAAAAAAGAGATGCATGTGAATGCAAAACCTTGTTATTTTTATTAAAAGTGATGCATGAGAGTGACTCATTACTTCCTCCTTGAAAAAATTTACATTCACTTACTAACAAATGATATTAGGTGATGGTTCTACCATAGCCCTGAATGATTTCTTTTGGCTATTTAACACGCTTTGATTGCCTTAACACATTCATTGCAACAGGTGTGTTTGATGATGATTGGTCACAGGGCTAGACGCTTTCCTGGGCCAAGTATTCAGTGGTAAATACATTCAAGTTAAACGTACTAAATGTTACTAAACAACATTCTTACTAACAGCTTACAAGAAATTTTGAACAGCACATTTTGAACTGAATAATCTAAGCTGATGTTTGAGTCAGTACATCCATGAATCCAGGTAAGGGTTCAGATAAAAGTGGACATAAACATTCATTTTGGCCAAATGCACATTCCTTTATTAGAAGAAATACAAATCGAGAAATGTTCACAAGGTCAAGTATAAAAAAAGCCACGCCAACTCTTCATTTACTGAGGGTCTCCAGAAGGCATAGTTCTGATGATATCACTGTCACCAGGGTCAGTGATGGACAGTGTGCATACCCTGAAGTACTTTCCGCAGGCTGTACCCAACTCAATGTTGTTTCCAGTGTAGTGGTGAACACCAGTCTTGGCAAGCATGGCGTAGTACTCGATCTCAGATTTCCTGCAACAATAATCGAACATTGCAACACGACAAAATGAAACCCAGCACACGTCCCAAGCAAATCTAATCGATGGAATGGCAAAGACAAGTCTAAAATATTGTAATCAAAAACAGCGCCAATACTGACTGATTCCTAAAACGCATGAAAGTGCCAATTGCCAGGGTAACAAACCTCAGCAATAAAGGCAAGTTACGATCCTACAATAACTAGATCAATATGCTTAACACCAAGCCAAATCACTTGTCATACTTACGAAGTGAAGCCCGCAGACACCACTTTAGGTATGAACACCATTAACAAGGTACATACTAAACACATGCAGTTCAGTACATACAATGTTGCCGGTACGAGACTACTCCATAGGAGTCCAAAAGCTCAAGAAGCGTCTTATGCCAAATCAGTGGATAGCAATGCTGCGAGAGCTTACTTTGAACTAAACCGGTTGGAACAACTTCAACCACAACGTACTGAATCAAGGGCCATCCATGATTAGCAACAGAGATCCTGAGGGAATCCTACTTCTCAGCCTCACCTTAGTGGAGGAGTGTTGTTGGCAATGATGACAAGCTTGGCCTTTCCCTGACGGAGGGACTTCAGGGTCTGGTTCAGTCCAAGGACGTACTTTCCACTCTTCATGACCAACGCCAATCGGCTGTTGATGCTCTCTAGAGCCTTTTTCTGTAGGGCAGAAGAATTTAAAGGGTTACATCAGGCAAGAAAGGCAAGATTTCGAAACCAATATATAAAAGATGAGTCTACGATGAAGTGAGAGTAAACAGTGAAACGATCCCCGGAAAACGAGAAGTTAATTAAACCGAGAAACAGACCGGGCATGCCGGTGGACACACGACGAATAGGTTAAAAGTGAGAGGTTAGGTCCCGAACACGGGACATCAATACGATCTAAATGTCGCAGACTCAAATGAAAAAGAAAATCCAGAAAGCCCACACGCCAACGCACAAGAATGCGAACCGCAGAGGTAAGTTTCCAAGGGAAAGCAGAGAAAAATAAGTCATGTTTTCACATGGCGCCGCCGCAAGCATGCTTACCTGTTTCTTTTGGGCAACCATGGTGACGTTTTAAGATCACACCGACCTGAAATTGAGGAAAATAAGCGAGTCAGATATAAGAAACGAAAACTCAACTACGCGAGCACGATTTGAGCGAGAAATATATCCAGATGCACGATTTATTCCACTGGGCAAACACACACCTTCCACTACAGACAGCGGGCAACACGCGAAGGGCGACGTGGTCTCTGCCGGAAAAGGAAACCGTAGTCCGTCAAAAGCGGAGAAGTAGCGTGGGGGTACGCTCTCTTCGGCGTAGCGTGGTCAAATCTGCCCAAACTAGAAAACACGAGTTTGCGGCTTGTCTTTCTTTGGATCAAAATAAGGCGATGCTGCAATCAATAAGAGCTACATTTATTTCATTTAGTAAGTTGTCTTAATGGAGTCGACTCTTTGAAGGGGGAAAAATCACTGAGCAGTAGTTCTTGGAGCATCCGCGAGATGGCGCCTCTGTCCACCCCGCGCAGCGTACGTGGCTTCTGATTGGTCGTCTGTTCCAACGGCCGTCCTTTGTTCTGTTCCCGCGGCCCGCGTGAGCAGATTCAAACGACAACGGGACCCGGTCTGGCGGTACTTGGTAGAAATAGCTGGACGGTCTGGAATATTTCTTGAAGATGAACGGAACGGATATTCCTCTATTTTTGGGTCAGTTATGCTCATCAGTGAAATACTGTGCGTGGGATAAACGGACGTAGTTCGTTTTCGAAGATCGGCGCGCTCGCGCTGTCGAATGGGATGCCTACCTCCCAGGCTGTGGAGTCCCTTCACGGCGAAGATGCACACGACGCTCTATTGTCGAACTAGATGCCTACCTCTCAGGCGTCGAAGTCTCAATCCGAAACGAAGATGCACACTGATCTTGTTGTGAGACTTTTTGTCAAATGGGCTGCCTAACCTCTCAGGCGGCAAAGTCGGAACCCAAAACCAGATCTTGAACTCGAGAGATTGGGCCACAAAATATGATCCTAGGTATGCCATTTCGGGAAAATGTAATGTATATTTACACAAGGTTCGCGCTCAGAGGCAGCATGATGGAGTCCCGAGTCCCGACTTCCCGCCCGCGTGGGTCACCAGCAGACTGATTCTGACAGTTGTTTTCGTCGCTCTGTCTCTCTCGCACCTATGCGGGACGACCCATGGGTGCGAGAGAAACAGAGCGACGAAAACGACTTTCAGAATCAGTCTGATATGGTCGCCTCGCCAGTTTCCTTGGATTGTCGGCTCGTTCATTCTTCCAGTGCATTCATTGTGTTGGGGGCCCACTTTGCACCGTCACTCGGTGACGGTGGAGGGGGCTCTCGGTCGGTATCGTCAATGCAGCCTGATGGCTTCTCTCTCTCTCTCAAGGCGGAAGTCGGCTGCCGGGGCGACGTCGGCGCTCTAGCCAAGCGCTCGCTGGGCGACTTGGGCGACGCGACCCGGAACCTGGAAGGGCTCGAAGGGCTGGCAGGGCTGGAAGGGCAGGGGGGAAAGCGAGGCGGGCGTCGTTGTGTTTGCTCGCTGCCTCGTCTCTGTCGCACTCGTTGGGGCGCACTGTAGAAGTGCGAGAGAGACGGAGCGGACGAAAAGACTCTTTCGGGGATCCGCTTGCTGAGTGTGTATCGGTCTCGCGCAGGGGGAATGACCAGGCCGCTGGCGCGCTGGCGCGGTGGGCGGTGGTTCGAGTCCGGCCCGGGGCGCTCCAGGGGCGCTCCGTACTCGCCACGCCTGGGCACGCCCTTCTCCAGAACCGAAGGTGTCGAATGGCGGTAGGAAGCTGGCCGCTGGCCAAGGACTGACCCAATCCACCAACAAATGAGGCGTCGCTCGTCGGCGGCGCGGCGTGCCTCGCGGCGTGGCGGGGCGGGGCGGGGCGGGGCGAGGAAGGGCGTGGCTACGTTAGGAAAGAAACGCGTTCTCGCCCGGTTCGAGCACGGCTTGTTTATCGGACAGGCTTGCCACCTAAAACTAAACCTATGTAGTACTGTACACAGCATGCTTGATTGCGCTCTTCGGTTACGAAAAGCCTCCCCTTCCCTTGATTCAAAGTCCCGCGGCGCGGCGGCCCTTCGCCGCCCACTCCACAGTGGACCAGAAGACCGTGGGGGCGGCGGAAATCCCGGACGGGCTTTAGAGCTCCAGAGTACGCTAAATGGGACTCGCCCATCAATAAATCGGTCTCTGAACGAGGAATCCATTGGTGGGGCACACGCTCTGTTCGAGTCCCCTTTCGCGACGCTGGAGATCAAAACGCGTCTAAGAGTTTCGGCCACCTCCATCGGCCTTCTGGCCCACTGTGTGCCACTCTCTTCCACTGCTCGGCGTGTCGCGGCTCGGCCGTGCGCGGCCGTGTCTCCTGGAGGTTTCCGGTTGGCTGCCGTCCCGAAGACGCAACTGAGTCAACAAGCAGTATCCGCACCAGGAAAAAACTCTGAGAAGGCGCTGCGACCAGGCTTCGCCAGGCTTGCGACGCCTTCCGATCCGAACGCGAACTGGCTCGCTGACTCGCGCGATGCAACGTTTCTGCTGCAGGCTGGCGGAGCGGGGAGGGAACTGGAAGTTGTCGCGGTGCAGCAACTCGCACTGCATCAGGTTTAGGAAGCCCGTCGACACTCATAACGAGCCAGGCTTAGTGAAAAAAATAAAATAAAAATCAGGCTATTTTTAAATCATTTTTTTTTTAGCAAAGTGATTGATTATAGAAGAGACATATTGGCGTAGAAAAGACATGGGTGGTTCCACGATCCAACTGTCTTTCAGCGAGAATGCCGATCAGGTCCGACCTGAGCTCAGGTCATGTTTTTGTGCGTGGAGTACACTGGTGAAACAAAGGCATTAAAATTATGCCCTTTAAGGGCGTAAACGATTTACGCCATTAAAGGGCATAAATCGTTAATGCCTTTGGGAAGGCTTTAAAATTTTGCTTAAAATTCCTATACCATTTACGCCCTTCCCAAGGGCATAAAACGATTTATGCCCTTGGGAAGGGCGTAAAAGAGTATTTATGCCCTAAAGAGCGTAATTTTTATGCCTTTGTTTTACCAGTGTATCGACGAACCCAGCCTTCGATCCTCCTGCGTGGCAGTGGCGTGGACGGGTCAGTTTGAGAAAAGCGGGAATCCAGGCATCGCATCCCGGCGGCGCAGCATCCGTTGACATCTTCCTGGCCGGCCGTCCCGCCGCCGTCCCGCCGTCCCAGCCGCCCCGTTCTCTTCCTGGTTCGCTTCATGCCATAATAAAAACGGCGGCCAGCCTGCAGGCATACGTGTGATGCACACAGAAAAGAGAGAGACAGAGAGAGAGAGAGAGAGACAGAGAAAGAGAGAGAAAGAGAGAGAGTTTTTAATTGCGGCTTGCGTTTCCGCATCGTCGTCTCGTCGCCTCGATACTCTCGATCGGGTTATCGAACAGCGCGCTCGTTTTTCGTACCGCCGTGTGTCCACTGTGTGTCCACTGTGTGTCCACCGTGTGCCCGCACTACTGCGCGCGGGCGTGGCCTCACCAGCGTCCTCTCTTATCCCTCTAACGAGATGCCGCGAACGAGACGCACGAAGGCCTCGCCCGGCCGTCCGAGCGGCCGTCGCCCTTCGCCACTGCATCCCCGGCATGTAATTGCAATTGACCTCTGCAGCGGGAGTGCAGCGGCGCCAGCGCGTCTTCATCGGCCGGACCACGTGACCGACGACGACGTCGCCGACGTCGATTCGGAGCACGGCGTCGGCGGCGCCGCGCCGCAGGTCAGATTTCCCACGTCCCTGCGCCTCGATTGCGACACCGCTTAATTGAATTTGGAGAGCCGCCTGTGCGAGAGAGACAGAGCGACTGCAGAGGCAGACTCGTGGACGGAGTGAGTCCCACGATGGATTCGCGCCGCGCGGGCACGGCCGGCACGGCGTCGTGGCGATCTCCCGGATCGCGTCGCTGCATCGCTGTCGCCATTGTTGCAGATGTCGCCGCCTGTTGCGAAACCGCGCCGGAATAGTGTGCCCCACACTGCGAAAAGAAAATGCTTCAAAAGAAGGACAGTAACGTCAGGGTATGCAGTGAAGCTGATTGGAAATAATGCGAGCAAATCCGGGCAAATCAAATCCGGCGGCTCGGCGTCGTGAAGGGGGGGGGGGTATGAGAGGTATTTATTTGCACGACGTCATGTCGCCTGGCGGCCTGTGGCGGCTGCCGAGAGGTTTTGCCGCGGCGCCGCGTCGCGCAGAGTCGCGCCCTTTGCCGTTTTTGTCGCCATTATTTCTCGCAAAGTCGGCAAACACCATAAGAAGGCGCCGGGACTTTGTTTCCGACGCAGGGGCTTGAGGGGACCTGGGGACCGACACGCGTCAGCAGCGCTAACGCGAGTACACTACCGTGCCTTCTCGTTTTTGCGACTCCCTCGCGTTGTCTTCATTTCATTCTCACGTTTTGTCAGTTTGACAGCCCGTTAGTACCGACACGAGTCGCGATAGGGCGCACCGCGCGCATCAACCGCGAAACGGTCAAATGGCGCCGTCGAATGGGCGGCCTACCTCGCAGGGGTCTCGCTCTGTCTCTGTCGCACTCGTGGGGCGCCCCGCGGCGGTGCGAGAGAGACAAGCGAAGATCCTTCGGCTGGCGACAAACGATGCGCGTTTCGGGCCGCGGCCGCGTGCTGCCGCGCTGCAGGCTGTGCGGCGTCGCTCTCTCTCGCACTCGTGGGGCGTTCCACGCGTTCCACGCGTTCCGCGCAGGGGTGCGAGAGAGACAGCGGCGAAATGCTGTCGGCCCGCTGCGCGCTGCGCACCAAGCCGCCGTTCCGTTCCGCTTCGTGCCGATAAGGCTGCGTCCGTCAGTCCGTCACCGGGGCAAAGGTGTACTTACCGGGTACCGCGGCACAGGTACCTCGCCGACGAGACGATACCTCGCCGTCGGCGGCGGCAGCGCAGCGCGCGACCCGAGCAAGCCGCCAGCGCCGCCAAACTTATGCCGCGGCGCGCGCTGTTCACGGGCCTTCCCTGCCGCCGGACTCCGAAGGACTCCGAAGGACCGCGCTGTCTCTCTCGCACCCCGACGGGACGCCCCCTGAGTGCGACAGAGGCAGAGCGACGAGGCGATCCCGCGGAATGAGGCGGCTGCTTGCGTATTCCAGCTGCGATTGCCGTCTGCCTGGTTGGGCATCTTGGGCCGGCCGAGTCGGGCCGACGGCAGCCGATGGCGGCCGATGGCCACGAACGGGATTCGCCGCCATGCCGCCAGCGTCGTCGCCGAGCACCCGATTCCGCGCCGCGATGACGCTCATGACGGCGGCGGAG